GTGAAGATCATGCTATAGAAATAAGTAATATAGGTGAGCAGGGCTGTGTTCAGAAATTTCTAACCAACAGTCTTCACGAGAAAGTGGACACTTGTGACGCCCGGCTGAGTTATCCCGGCCACTGGCCTGGCCAGTCAGTGCATAGCCCCAGGCATTGGGTGCCTGGGCAAACCCCTGACTTGTGCCTGGTGCACTCTGCAGGGGCCACTACTACCTGTTCTCCATCACCTGCCCATGGGAGGCTCCCTTTTCTAATTGGCATGGAAGCCCCACCCAGCCTGTGCGGCTCTGAGCCTTAAATCGTACCATTGCCTTAAAGAATGTATTTAGTGCCAACCTGGGAGAATGTGCAGACTTCATGTCTGAGTTTGGAGGGCTGCCTAGCTGGCATCATTGTGTTATGGACACCACCTGGAGCACAACATAGGGACCTGCATCAAGTTGCCAAGGTATTTTGAAGCAAATGGAAAGTGAGTTTGACCCAGAGGCCAGGAGGATGAGAGCCCTGTGACTGGCACATGCCACCTGGTTCTTCTGTCTCACACAGGCCTGAGCACACACCCTGTGATGCTGCCTGGCTACCCTGAGCTCTGGCAATGTCATCCACCTCAGCCAAGAGAGCAGGGACATCAAGCGAAAGAGGGGATAATGGGACACTGTGGTGGTTGCCACTCTGATCCTGGAACCTAGCAGTACAAGAGATGGTGGTAGGCTGGGAAGGGATCAGTCTGTGCCCTGAGTACAAACCAGTCTTTGATGTGGTCCATCTGGGCTTTCTCTTGAGTCACTGTGAGAAGAAAGCAGGTGCAGATGACAACTTCCCACCCTTCCAGTGCCCCCCTTCAGGTCAAGCCAAGAGCTACTTAGAAGGCCACCAGGCACAGAACAGACCTGGCAGATCCATCTGCTTTTGGTTTCCCTGCTATGAATCTGAAAAGGAAAAAAATAGAGAAGAGACTTTGCAAGGTAAGATCAGGCTTATTTACATTCTGGTTCCCCCAGCAACATACACCTAACTTAATATTGAAGCCAGAGGAAGGATTACTCATTGGACAAGACAAATTTAAAATAAAGATGAAAAAGCCAAGTGCCCTAGTGCCCTGGTGCAGCACCTCCCTACACAGTGAGCCATGCTGGGTCTGTGTTCACAGTGACAGGGTGGGTGTCACTAACTCTAGAACCCAGCCTCACCCAGGCCACCCTCAGCAGAGCCTGCACCATTTAACAGTGCCCCAGCTGCGTCCCTGGGCTGACTGACAGGTCCCAGCATTGCAAAGTGTCCCTGCCTCTGAGTATGCATGAACACAGACAGACTCTCCATCTTTCTCAGCCTTAGTTTCCGCAGCTGTGAAACCTCAGAGTTCACGTGGAGCCTGTTCATGAGTGGCTGGCATGTGGCATGGTTGGTTCCTATCCTCTAGCCTCATGTGGCAGCCCAGCACCTGTGATAGGAGCACAGCTCTGCGCTGCTGTCCTGGTGCCACCCCAGGCAGCAACACCTTATAAATAAGGACACAGGGAAAGTTTTGGGGCTGATGACAGTGCTCAGAGAAAGAGGGGGCTATCATCTCTCAGTGTGATGGCATCTGGAAAAGACACATCTCCCTTGCTCAGCTTTGAGGGGGTCTGTATCACTTGGCATCTAATAAAGTACCTGAACTTTCTACTTTTAGAACCTAGACTTCCTGTGGGAAGAGGTTTAATGTAGCATAAAACCCAGGTCTATCTCTGTTGCAAACCTAAGGACACTGTCCCTCAGCAGATCCTGTGCCAAAGGCTGTGAGGGACATGGGCCCAGGTGATGGCCTGCTCCCTGGCAGTCTCGGCTGGTACACTCAGTTCAAGTGGGACAAATTGGGTAGCAGATGCTTGGCCAAGTTCACCTTTTCCTGCTTTAATTATTTCACCTTTCCCATTTTCCTGCTTTAATTATTTCACCTTTCCCATTTTCCTGCTTTAATTATTTCATTAGGAATTGTGTGTTTATCAAACAAAAGTGGAATTTTGAAAGACTCCTTTTCTGACTGAAAGGTTCTAAAATGACTCAAGGCCTCCAATAAAAGAATCTTCATTTTTATGTTGACAGAAAGGATGGAAACTCTCCTTTTATGGTGAGAAGTAAGCACAAAGTCCTTTTCCTATTAAATGACATGAGATGCTAAAATATTGAGTAAATAAGAACCAGCTCACTCCTAATTTTCTGTGGCTGCTCAACAACTCAGATGGGTATGGGGTGTCACCACAGCTGCTTGCCTTGCTTTGTTTTTTAAGTCTGGAGCATGAATTCCCAGCTGAGGAAGTTAGAAATTACTTGATGCTGCTCTGTGGCAAGCCCAAGTGTGGGCAGGAGCCTGTGAGGCTGCTCAGCTCTCTGTCCTCTCTCTGGACAGCACCATATGGTAGATGGCTTGGAGTGGCTCCTCCCTGCTCCAGGAAGCAGCACCATGATGGAAAGCAGGACCTGTGTCCACAGAAATGTGTAATGGGGGTGTGCAGTGCACGTTCATGTGTATGCCAAGAACCACATACATCACACACACTCGTTATACAGCATACACGGGCCGTACAGCACACACATGCATCACATACTTCTTCCTCAGCAATCTCAGCCTCAGATCCAGAACCCCTGTTTAATCTTTCTTTCAACAAATATTTATCCATCACAGGGCAGATACTACCCTAGGTCCTGGGGAGACAGCTATGAGCAGACAGGTAGCCCATGTGGCCCTTGAGGAGCACAGTGTGGGGAGAGCGCCCTTGGGGGATGTGTAGAGGCCATAAGGCACACTGTGGGGAGGCCCCCTTGGCCCTCAGGAGGTGCTGGACCAGTCAGCAGCAGAGCCCTAAGAGACAGTATGCATGAGACAGCTGATGAGGTGGCAGGAAGTCTGGTACTTGAGATTAGGAGGAAGCCATTTAACCTCCCTGTGCTCAGGGGTGACCCGTCTTGGGGCCTTTGTGCGCGGAGGAGAAACCTGGATCACATCCTCAATGAATCAGAGCTCAGCAGCCCAAGGGCCTTAGCAGAGGAAAGGCCCCATGTTCATTGCTGGGGGTGAGGCTAATGTGAGGGGAACTGCAGGAATGGGTGACCACAGGGGAAGTGTCCAGCAGGAAGGAAGCAGGGCAAGGACCAGCCCTGCCTGGGCAGGGGCAGTTGCCCAGAGCCAGCTATGGAAGTGTCTACAGAAACACAGGCCACACCCAGCTCCACCCAGGCACTAGGCTCAGGACAGAGGGCAGAGCAGGGCCTGGCCTGGTGACCCACCTCAGAGCCATGAAGTGGGAGTGACCATTGGCAAATAAGCGTGGCCAGAGGATCAGAGAGGTCCCAGGTGTGGACGGAACTAGGCAAACTGCAGAAGGATGTATGTGTCAATTATGTTTCCTAAGGGCAGGCACACAGCCTCAGGGATCTTTGTCACAAGTCCCTGCTGACCCTGGACTCTCCTTTTTCACCTTCTTTGCCTGGCCCTACACCAGAGGGACTCCCCACATGCTCTGAGGAAGTGCAGTTTCCACCTTCTCTTCCACTTGTACTATTTCCTCTGTGGCCATCAGTGTGCTCTTGAGAGTCAGCAAATGCCAAGATAGAATTACACTTGAGTTTTCTTTACTTGTCACCTGGAAGATAGCATTGAAAATGTGGACCATTGTGTAGGTCAGGAGGGAGGGAGGGGTCCCCTCTTGATGGCTGTGTTTATCCTTCCTGAAGCCCAGAGTCACTCCTAATTGTCAGTGTTCATCTTTTCCAATGGGGAAGGGGACAAAGGAGCAGCAGCTGTCCCCACAGGAAGGGGGTAGGGGTACCTATAAACCAAGGGAGTAACAGGCACCACCACCACCTTCCAGGGAAAGCAGGGGGCCCTGCTGTGAAGGATTAGGATCACTGGAAAGGGGTGACAGGTCTCACTTCCTGTAGAAAACCTGTAGTCTCTGTAAGGCTCTCATTGTGTTCTAGAATATTCCTCATTGGGCCTATTTTCTTCCTGCTTGAAACCTGGTTAGCCATATCCCATTTCTGATTTTACCTACTAAAAAGGCCCCTCCCAGTGTCAGGAGGGTGTCCTGGGGTATCTGTGAAGCACCCCCAGCCCCCAAAGCCCTGCTGTTGTGCCCAAGCCGGTGGGAGTCGGCAGCCCTGGACCAGGCAACATGCACGTGACACTCCTCAGAATTCACCCTGGTCCTTTGTTGGACTGACTCCCCCTCTGTCTTTCCTAGTTGAACCTTGTGGTCATTTATCTGATCAGTTCTCTCCAAGGGTTCAAAACTGACCTTTCCCAAATCCCCACAGTAGCAGAGCACTTTTGCAAGTGCTTATAAGTCCTTATCAGTATCCAGATATCCTGCAGCATTTTACAAGAGTGGCTCTTATCACTAAGTTTGTTGTTTCCTCATCGACAAATAAGACTAAGAGAAAAGCAGAAGTCAAATAATTAGTCATGGTACAAATACATGTACCGTGGAAGTGTGCAACCAGGAGTCCCCTAACTAGGTAGAGCACCTTTCCCTTAAAAGGGCCTCCAAGGTCTCTCCCAGATCAGATTGGTTGGGAAAGCCAGGCAGGAAAACCAGGCCAGGTTAGATTAAAGGAGATAACCTAGCCAGGACTGGCTTAGCTCATACTTGCTTTTCTCTAAGATTCCTCTGGGTCAGAGCATCAGACTTTAGACAGGGTGAAGAATAGAAAACAGTTGTGAGGTCCAAATACCTGACCCCTTGGATGCCATTTTGAGTGTCCTCGAGGGTCTTAGAACCCCATTGCCTCACTGTGCTGCCTTCCCTTCTGTCCCATGAGCAGGTGGGATTGTCCTAGGTATGTGGAGTGCTAGCTCCATCCCTCCCCTGCTGGGCAGCTCCTGAGTGTCTCAGAGTGAGATGGGGAGGATTGTGAGTCTCTGTAAACTATGTCCCCCCAGCGACTCTTTAGGGAAGACTCATCCTAAGATGTGCTCCCCAGGCAATGCCATGCTGACCGGGCCATCCTCTGCCCACAGGTACCTGGCGCTTTATGCCTACAGGCCCCAGAAGAGTGATGAGCTGGAGCTGCACAAGGGTGAGATGTACCGGGTCCTCGAGAAGTGTCAGGACGGCTGGTTCAAGGGGGCATCCCTGCGGACTGGGGTCTCTGGGGTGTTCCCTGGAAACTATGTGACGCCTGTCTCCAGGTGAGGGGGGTAGCCTGGGTGGGGAGGGAGTAAGGCCCACACTCTACTAATATAGCTACCACTGCTGGCCCTGTGGGCTGGGTCACCTGGAATCACCCAGTCCAGAAGGCAGCAAGGCCACCCGTGGTGCAGGGCCAGGCCAGGCTCCCATTGGCTCAGTGTCTCTGGGCCAGAGATTCACCTTCTCAGCTGAGGCTGCTTGACTTCCCCTCAGAAGACATTGGCCACCAGGGGAGGACAGGAGCAGAAGGAGAGGGGACAAGAAAGTCACTAGAGAGTAGAGCCTCAAGTGTGCTTGTGTGCTTGTAAGGGCAGTGTGTGTTCATGCATGTAAATACTGTGAACACAGTATGTATGCATGTGTTGTGGGTGTGTCTATAGTGTTGTACAGAGCACACATGTATGACATGAGTACAAAACGTGTGTGCAGCGTGTGGTGCAGTGTGAGAGCCAAATGCATGCACGTTTGTGTACAGTGTATACAGCATTAGCACGGCATGCATGTGTGTATATAGTGTGCACAGTGTTTTCATGTGTGTGTGAGTACAGGGTGTGTGTAAGCAGCGCATGTGTGTACACTGGTGTGTCATCACAGATGTGTTATATGTAAAACACAAATACATATATGCAAAGGAAAAATGACACATTCTCAAAAGTTAACAGTTGTCATTGAGGGGTAGCAGTATGGCTAATTATTTTTTCTTCTTTGTACTTTCTGCTATTTAATAAATTCTTTGTTATATTACTTTTATGAAACATAAAAAATGATCTTAAAGATTCACTAAAATGATAATGGGAATTGTCTAAGGATTTTCAGTTGAGGTAAGGGTCCACCACCCTGGTAAGGAAGGTCAGGAAGCCCCTCGTGGGCACAGCCTTGTGCAGCACTACAGGATACTCTGAGAAACAGAATGAATGGCCCTCGGGTTTCTGTGCCTTGGGAACTAGGCTGCCATGAAAAAGGATAAATAACATGCGGGCCGTGTGTCAGCGTTGTTCCAGAGCTGGTCCGCAGCCAGGGCCTCTGGTAAGGTGGCTGGCAGGCATGGTGGGAAAGGAGCTGCCCGGGCCCTAAAAGGTCTACAGGTGTGAGGAGGAAGGGCCGGCATAGAGCCTCCGGGAAAATCTGGGAAGCAAGAAAAGGAGCTTCAGGAAAGCCCCTACCCCAAGCCTGGCTGCCTGGGTGGAGGGGCTGCCTATGGGAGTGGGTGACCTTGTGGGAGTGGTTGCCTGGCACAGTGTGCACTACTGTGGGCTACAGCTGGACCAAGCTTGTCCTTGAAGCCCCCGCCTGGAGTTGGCCTTACTCTTTACATCACAGGTCGGTCCTTCCTGGAAGTGAGGGGAGTCCTTGCCCTCCAGGACAGCACAATCTAGGTGGCAGTATCCACATGTCCTACCTGGGGATGCCCCCCGTAACAAGCCTCCTCCTATATGGGGAGGACAGGTTCTTTCTGAGGATGTCCTCAGAGGGCGTCCAGAAACATGAAGCCTGTGTCTGAACTTAGCTGACCCTCCACTGCCTGCTGGCCACCATTCCTGAGGGTCACAGGGCAGCATCAGGATCCCGCCCCTGCCAGCTCTGAAATCCTCCTCTTGCTGCCAAGTGAGTCCCCACATAGCTTTCAAGAGCCGGGCCCCAAGTCTACCTGCTATGTGAAGCCCAGCTGCTCATTCTGCTTACCGTGGTTGGGGTGGATGGCTCTGCCCGTCATGTCGTTCTGTATGGACTATCCTACTTGTTAGGGTAGCTTACATGTGCATAGAGTCCCTGCTCACCTGGCAGCCCCTGGGCCACAGCAGCCATCCCCTGCTTGGTACTCCTGGGTCATCAAATACTGTTTGCATATGCTAGGTGCTCAATACATGCAGCTTGAATAAATAAATGGGACCTGGTCATCCTGATCATCCTCCTGCAGGACCATCTTCCCCTATTGCCAGGGACTCTGTTATGGAGGCTCCACTGGTTAATGAGACTGGAGCCCTCCACGTGGCCTGGCGCCCTAGCTGCACCTCTACTATAACCTCATCAAAAAAAAGTGTGCCCACTTTCCTTCCTAGCCCTCTCCATCTTCAGCTGGCTGAGTTTTCAGCAGAAGCTCAGAGCCAGGGAGAGCCACTAAACAAAAGCCTCTCCCAGCCTAGCCCCAGTGACTGCACTGACTGCCCTCCTGGTCCTCAGAGAAGGGATCGTCAGGTGCCGCTGGTCAGTTTTCAGAGACCTGGGCTCCCCACTTGGACCCACAGCTCACCACGGCACCAGAAGGCTGCCTGTCTCTATCCACACAAGTGAGGAAGCAGTCCCTGCACAGCTCTGCCTCCTGGGCTTGCCTTCTGACCTCACTGTCCTGAGGGAAACTGCGCCCGCTCCCCTCCCCCCGTCACCCTGCCAAACAGCAGCCTTTCCCGGGATATGGGCAGTCCTGGGTCACACAGCTGCATCCATTCGGGTCATTCTGGAATGCACGTTAGTGCCAGTGGGCTCTCAGTCGGCTGTGTTGAGTACTTAGACTTAACTTGGTAGTTGCACATCCTTGGAAGACACTGAGTTCATTTAAAAACAGTGGGGGCCAGGCATGGTAGCTCACGTCTGTAATCCTAGCACTCTGGAGGGCTAAGGCGGGTGGATTGCTTGAACTCAGAAGTTCAAGATCAGCCCGAACAACAATGAGACCCCATCTCTAAAAAAAAAATAAAATAACCAAACACTGTGACAGGTCCCTGTAGTCCCAGCTACTTGGGAGGCTGAGGCAGGAGAATCACTTGAGCCCAAAAGTTTGAGTGCACTATGATACTGTGGCACTCTTCCAAGGGCAACAAAATTAAACTCTGTCTCAAAAATATTTTTTTTTAAATAAAAACAGGGCAGGGGGACCAGAGTGTGTTCCTGGGACAGCGAGACCATGCACTAACAGGACTAGGCAAGGCTGAGGACGTCCTTGCCGACCTGCCGGTAGAGCAGGGGAGAGGGACTTGTGCTATAACGAGAGGCAGATGTGCATCTGCATCTGTTGTCTTAAAACTTGTCACTTTTACCTACAAATCGTGACCTGTCGTTTGTAAGCCCACTTTATTTAGTTCTTAAAAAATAATCCCCTCAGGTGAAAGTGGGCTCAAGAAGTAGCAAATGGGATTTTAAAATTCTTGGTTTGTGCTGGCCTGGTGACAGGGCTGCTGCCAGAAGCTCATTTCAGCACAGCTCTGAGGGCTGAGGAAGGACATTGATGTCCCTGCCCCATGGCTGGTGAGGCCTCTCCTGGAAGCCCCATCTCCCCTCAATTGGTGCTGCAGGGGCTTCTCCCCAGTGGAGACCACAGGGACGTGGTGGGACCTGGGCTGCAGGAGACAGTGCCTGTTTCTGCCACTGGTGCCTTCTGCTGGCTCATGAATTGAGATCCTGAAGGGACAGGAACAAGAATTTATCCAACTCTTCACCAAATGGAAGACATTCTCAAAACCCTGGAACTAAGCGCACAGAAGCTTCCAAATCCCCAGACCCTACTGCGCCTCACACGCCGCAACCAAGGCATGGCGGGTGCAGACGCACCTAGAGGGAAGGGGAAGGCCACCTGTGCATAGTTGCTATGTTCCTCTTGTTTCATCTGGAAACTTCGAGGCAAAAAGGCATCTATTTCTGCCATGCTCCCTGACCTTTCGTCAGAAGAAGGCCATGCTCTGTGGGCCCTTTCCCAGCGGCTGGCAGATGTGAGGGAGTGGCTGAGCCCAGAGGGAGCTGGCGTCTTTGCCACCATTTCCCAGCCACGTGCCAGATGTGTCAAAGCCTCATGAGACACAACTGAGTCATCTGTTCTTTCTGGATGTGTTTGGAGACACACACCTGTTTGTTAGCATGATTAAGTCAGGAGCTCTAGGTCAGAGTATTTGATTGGTTGGGATCATTTCTCCTCTTCTGAGAGTTCTTTTGCTATTTCTTGAATATTTTGCATTGAGAGTTAGCTCCATGAAGGTTTTATAAGGGGCTCTTCTGCCCAGCTGCAAGCATTGAGTTAGGACCTTGTCCTCTGGACCAGCTGGCCTTCATCTTTTGCAGCCCATGGGTGAGAACCTTTGCCAGTGGCCCATGTGGCTTCATAGGGTGGCAGCATCTGAGCCCAGAGGTAATTATATTTTATTTCCTAGGGTTCCCATAGGAGGGGCTGGGCCATCCCGGAATAATGTGGTTGGAGAATCTCCGCTGGCCAAAGGGATCACCACAACGATGCACCCAGGTGGCGGGAGTCTTAGCAGCCCAGCCATTGCCACCAGGCCTGCCCTGCCCATCACCACACCCCCAGCCCATGCCCAGCACCCAGCCTCGCCCCCAACAGGCAGCTGTCTGCGGCACATGGCTCAGCCAGCAGCCAGCCAAGCACGGAGCACCATCCCAACAGGTATGTCTGCACACTCGCAGGGACCTCCCCTGTGGAACATCAACAAGGGGATCATGAGATCTGTGTTGTCCCAGGCCTTCAGTATTCCCTGGTGGAGCAGGTTGTATTTGCCTATCGTAATCATAAACTTCCACTGATCTCCAGGAAGTTTTCTTGACTTACATTATCCTATCCTGACAATAGAAGTTGACTAGAAAGTTTACAATTATTTACACATGTCATTGTGGCAGGTGGACCATGCTGACTAATAAGGTGGATGCTGGTGCCTTTGCTTCCCTTATGAGAAACATGGCCAGCCACATGGGCCTTATATCTGCTGGGCACTATGGGGTTTCCCAGCCACGCAACACCCCCCAGGATGGGGCTGGAGGGAAAATCAGGTCCAGAGTACTCCCTTTCTGAAGTGCCCTGAGATCAAAAGGGATTGGTCCTACACCTGCATGGCAGCACCATCCACTGATTAGATGATGGGAAAAACAGGTTGCTCCTGGGATGTTGTGGGAAGAAAATAAATTGTGGGGTGGGCCTTAAAGGCACTAAGAAGGTCAGCCTATCTGGGTTAGGAGCTTAGCATCACCCTAATAAAGGAGTGCTGAGCTGAGGCTCTGGGAGGCCATGGCATGAACCTTCCAAACCATGCTGCCTGCATCCCATGCTGCAGTGAGAGTGCCCAGGGCAGGGTCTTTCCCCACCCCAACCCTATCCCCTCAGAAATCATCTCTCTTCTCAAACTGAGGCTTAAAGGGCAAAAATAATAAATTCTTTGGAGCAATAAAAGGCACTATGTTTTGGACGGCCACCCAGAAGGTGCCTCATTGGAAATGATTCAGAAAGCAGCTCTTGCAGGCTTAGAACAGCTCCTCTGACTCACAGCCTTCTGCCACCTGGGAAGTTGGCCTACAGGCACCCACACTGAAGCCAGTCAGGCACTCAGGTTCAAAAGGAGGTGCCGTGCCCCCGCAGGAAAGCCCTCCCTGAACGTAAGCTGCCTAGAGAGTCTTCTTGTCTGGTACACTCCAGCCGGTGTGCCTGCTCCTGGAACAAGACACCATCCCTGCTTGCGGGCTGCTCAACAGACTGATCACCAGGGAAGCAAGGCTTGCCTGGTGCAAGGGCTGCAGCCACCTGCACGGAAGGCTAAGAAGCAGGCAGGGCTCCCCAGACAGGGTGGCTCCCATAGTGAGCAGCAAGTATCAAGGGGTGAGGGGACAGGAGCAGGTGCAGGTGAGGCAGGAGATGAGCAGAAGCCGGAGAGAGCACATTTTCCCTTCACAGGCCGCAAGTAATTTAGTCACAGCACCACAGACAGAGGCCAGCCTGAGGCTTGTGCCTGGGAGGCAGACAAACCTATGATCTTGTGTTGGGGCTACGGTTCTGGCTGTGGCCTCAGTTTTCCTTTCTATAAAACAAGTAGATAAGTGGCATTTCTCCTTAGGGTGGTTGTGTGAGGACCGCCTAGCATGGCACTCAGTGCATGGTTGTGCTTATTATTTATTAAACATGGCTATGTTTATTGTTTATTACTGGAATATTGAATGTATGAGAGTCAAAAAGTGAATAGAAATTGTTTTAAAGGATCTAGGGGGTGGAACTCTCTCTTAAATGCAGTGGGGACCCACTGAGGGATTTTAAGCAATAGAAACAGCATTTCCCCCTCCATAGCAGGGCATGGCATGGAATAAGAACTGGTGTAGGGCAACCTGGCAGGGCAGGAAGCCAACTCTAGGCACCTGGAAAAGGTTAGCAGTGGCACGGGGCCTGTACCCAGGAGGGGCAACAGCATGGGCACAGACGCATGGTGCATAGGAGGCAGAATGGCCACAGACTGGGGATAGGCTGGATGGCGGTGCCCAGGGAGACCAAGGAACCAAATCCAGTGTCAGGTTTCTGGACTGGTAACTAGGAGGGAGACAGTGACTTACCCTGGCTTAGGAGATTCCAGAAGGGAACAGAACTGGTTTATGGGGGAGATAATGAACTAGGCTTGGATGTGTGGCCTTCGGGCATGGTGGGCACACCCGTAGCACTGTGGCACCCTGGCAGGTTTTGAGCAACTCCTTGTGTGAGGCCCCCACAGCATCATGAGTTCTGGTCTTCACAGTACAGGTAAGGAGACCACTCTGGGTCCTGCTCCTAACCTCCATTCAGAAGACAAAAACATGAGGTGCCCTGCAAAGCTTAGGTGCCCAGCCCATCACTGGGCTGAAGACAGTGATGAAAGAAACATCTAGTTTTTTAGGGGCAGCAAGGGTCGACCTCAGGTTCCCGGTGCCCAGCCTCAGTTCAGCACCAGGAGCACCTTATGAGCGGTCTGAGCACAGCCTTGCCACAAAGCTTCTCTGAGTGCCTCCTTGTCTTTCAGGTCTCTATTTTGCTCCAGTTAGCCCACAATGACCTCTGCATCTCTGTAGCCTTGGCCTAGGGAGCCCTGGCAAAGAATTAATTGTCTCATACTACAGAGTTCTGCAGCAACATAATCTGTGCCAGGCCCTCACCCCAGTCTGTCACCTCTGGCCACCCACATGAGCCGCATGGTTTAAGTTATCTACTGGTGTTGATAGGCCCCTGTCATAGGCAAATGGTCAGGTGATCTAAAACCAAGCTCCCTGACCAGCTAGAGGTAGCCACGATGCCAGTCTCATTGGCCACTGCAGCATCTGGACAGGACCTGGAGAGCTAAAGTCCCAGGCCAGGTCCCTCTGGTTATAAACACTTATCCAGTCAGCCCAGAGTGCAGGTGTGGTCCATGTGCACCCCAACACAGAAAGGTTGAGCAACCCTGCTCCCATTTTTGTGCTGGCCCTGGGTTATCAGCACAAAATAGCTGGTATAAGGGCCTTTCCATGCCAAGCCTTGCTAGAAATGTTTCAATTCAGAGAAGAAATGGAACCTTGCCAGTCTTTTCTCCCTCTATGGAATAACAAGCAGCATCAAAAGAAATTGGTGTGGCTGGGGCCAGCAACATTGTGTCTCAGTTGTTGATCACCATGGTAACTGGGGTGGCATGGCAAGCATTCTCTTCCAGCAGTTTAATTTTGCACAGGGGAGAATGAGGTGCAGGATGGTTAAAGGCCCCCCAGGGCATCCCGGCCCTTGCCAGTGCCTTACAGCCAGGTTAAAGAGTGGCTCCTACTGAGCCACATCAGTAAATTAAATGCCACTGAGTTCCTGCAGCATTTTCCACTTCATTCTGCATTTAGAGAGAGAAAACACTGTTGACAGTGCAAGTAATGGATTGTTCCCGCAGTAATTGCCCATTTCAGCAGACCCAGCCCCAGCAGTTGGGAGGCGTTTCATCAATGTTCTCATCTCACGCCAAAGTCAGGCAGTTTGACAAAGGTTTAATTGCATTGGTCATAGCGTCCAATATGATTTGTTCTACGTGATTGATGTAACTTCTTTCCCAAGGACAGAACACCCCTGTAAAGTGCCATGGTTCCTCACATACTCGTGTCTGTGCTTAAAAGGGGCAAGAGCCCAGCACAGCTGTGTATTCATCAGCAAAAAATAAAACCCACCAAGAAAGAGCTAGATACAAGCAAGGCACTCTGCTCTGCTCAGGGCTGAAAATACAGAGAAGAACCAGAGTTCTGCAGCAGAAATTGAACAGCACTGCAAAGGAGGCCTAGGAAGGGTTTGCAGGGAGGGAGGATTCATTCTGACTGGGCAGGAGGGTCAAAGAGGGGATAGGGAAAACTTCCTGCCTGGAAATTTTCAAGAGGAGGTGATAGTTCCTGGAATCTCAAAGGACAGATAGAAACTGCCCAGGCAGACACAGTGGAAAGTTCCAGGCAAAGGAATAAGCAAGAGCAAAGACCTAGCAGTGAAGAAAAACCATGGTCCTTATTTTGAGTAACTTTATTTAATTGGAATAAAGAAATGAAGGCATGGAAGGAAGGAAGTGTCCAGTGTGTTGATGACACTTCTCCATAGAGGAGAGCTCTACCTTGACTCTGAAAGATGAGTGGAACCCAGCATGCTGTGGTGGGTGGGGTCAGGGGAGCATGTGGGGACCTCTGAGCATGCAGAGTCCTGGTACAAGTGGACACAGGAATAAGGTCAGGTGGGAGAACAAAGGAGGACGGTGATGAAGCTGAGAGTTAAACGGGCAGATTGTGAAGGCTCTTTTAGACCATGTCAAGGAATTTGTGTTTTTATCTTAAGGGCTGTAGCATGTATTCGAGGGTTTTAAATAATAGAAATAGTCATGTTTTTATATTCAAGAGATGGAGCTAGACTTCTGCTATGGCCAAGCTGAAGTAATGAGGACAAGTAATACCCTCCCACCTGAAACAAATATAAGAAAGACAAATGTATAAAACAAGTTTTCAAGACACTGAACATTAGATAACCAAGGACTGTGATCCATAAGAGAAGTTGCAGGCTGTGGCACAGGGTGGGTAGCAGCAGGCCCCCTGCAGTGAGGACATGGAGCTGGGCATCTGTGTGACAGAGAGGACTGGAGTTTCTACAGCAGGGACCCAGAGGAGAGCAGTGCCTAGAGAGGCTACAGAGTGCTCTCCTGGAATACTGGGCTGAGAACTAATCAGCATGTGAATGAACATGAGAAAACTACCAAGAAGCAGGAAAAGAAGTAAAGAAAGGATTAGCATGAATAGTGCCCAGAATATACCCTGGCTGGAAATAGCGTCTGTTCCCACCAGCCAGACTGGAAGAAGTCTCAAAATTCACAGGACGCTGAGTAGTCTACAAAAGACTACTACACAGTACTCTTGCCTCATTAGTGGGGAATGTTGTCCCCGGGCTGAGTACTGCTCCAGTTTCACCCATCAAGTCTCACAAGCAAGACTCAAAGAGTCAAACTATTTCCAGTTAATTTAACTTTGTCACAAACAAAGTTTAAGAATATTTGTAGGAATACAAAAATACCCAGCACTTAAAACCATAAAAGTTAACAGTGTCTGATATACAATAAAAAATTGCTAAGCATATAAAAGATCAGGAAAATATGATCAATAATTAAGAGATAAATGAGTCAA